CACACACACACACACACACACATTTTTTGCCTGTCCTGGGGCTTGAACTCTGGGCCTGGGCACTGTCACTGCACTCTCCCTCTTGAGCCACAGCGCCACTTCTGGAGATAAGGGTCTTTGGACTTTCCTGCGCGGGCTGGCCTTGAACCGAGATCCTCATACCTCAGCTTCCTGAGCAGCTAGGATTACAGGCGTGAGCCACTGGCGCCCAGCTCCTTATTCAATATTTTAACCGCTGCCTATCTCTTTCAAATCTACTGTCAGCCATTTCCTTGGCAAGCTTTAGTACACAAGTTCCAAATTTACTGACAGAGCAGGGTTTGTATCAAAATATCTTCAGATGAATATTTAGCCATCTTGAGACCAACTACATGTAAGCTTTGAGGTGATGTCTATTGGAAGGAAATAAAAAAAAAAGACTGACCATAACTTAGAAGAGAAAATGATACATAGTTGCTGGTTACAGATGATAGCAAGATTTAACTGTCAATTTTAGCAGATTTTGCAGGAGACATTAGACATTAAGCCTTAATAGGAAAGGAAAGCTAAAGTAGCCGAGTAATCATAAGGTGTGATTCTTTGGAGTCTTGGAGCAAATGAGCGATACTGTCATGAGTATATCATGTACAAGACAATATGGAAAGCCTTTCTAAAGTATCTTCTAGAAATGCAACCAGAAATTCCGAAACATGTGAGTCACCGTGATGAGTTCAAACACAGAATGCCCTTCCAAATGCAATACTGGAATTTAAGAGGAAAGCCTCAATACGAAAAGCATATTTCACATATTGATGTGGCGTTCCCCTTTTAACTTTCACTTTTTTCCATTCCGGTCTTTCCTACATTTATCTGAGTAATGTTGCCTTTATTTATTGATTGTGAGTGGGTTGTTGCACATGCCCCACCATGAACAGTGTGCTTACCCAAATGGCATCCATAGGTAATGTTTTTTCTTTGATTTGGTTTGGTTTCTGGATGTTGGAAATATGGATGCTGCATAGAGTAATCAATCTCTATTTTGACAGAATGCCTGACAAATAACACACATTGTCTTTTCTTTGTCATAGTTTTTTTTTTCTTCTTTCTATTTCACTTCTGGCTTTTTCTGTTTATGTGGTACTGAGGAATTGAACCTAGGGCTTCATGCTGCTAGGCAAGCACTCTAACACTAAGCCACATTCCCAACCCTTGTTATAGATAAATAGATAGATAGAGATATAAATATATAGACATATATATGTGTGTGTATGTATATATATGTATATATGTATATATATGCATATGTATAGATATATGAAAGAAATATAGAGACATTTTAAATTATGACTAAACAGAAGTTTTTTTTAATTTAATTTTATTTTTTTTGAACATACTGTACAGAGGGGTTACAATTACATGGGCAAGATAATGAGTACATTTCTTATCAAGCATTGCAGCCTCCTCCTTTGTTTACCCTTCACATCCCTTCCCAGCCTCCTCCCTACCCCCCAACACAATCCTCCCCCCTTCCCCCACACCAACGTTGTAAAGCTCGTTTTTGACATGACAACTTGTACTTTTCATTGTTGCAACAGGTCCACCTCTAAACAGAAGTTTTAAAAGATGCCTAGGAGTAAAACTCTGGTTTTACTTTTGTGGGACATTACAGATATTCACGGTCTTAGAATGTTTTATATGGATAGGAATTTTTTTTCTGATTCAGCTTCCATTTCATAGAAATATATTTGCACCACCTGGTGGTAAAACTAAGCTTTGTACATTTTTTCTCTTTAATGCTACAAAATAAGTGGACTACAAAATTTCATATTTTAATTTAAAATATGTATAATATATTTAGAAGGTATTAAATTAGTATTATTAAAGTAAAGTTGAGTCTTAGTATCTAATATACTTTTTGTCTGTGTCTTAAATCCGGATACTTCTGAGTGAGTAAGTGTGTGTGTGTGTTTGTGCCATCAATTATCTTGTTACTGATGATAAATAATCTCACTCTGATGATTGATAATCATTATACTTAGTTATCCTCAAAATAAATACTATTTTATAACAATAATTTTAATTTAACACACTCTACAATATATAATGCCTAGTTCAAATTCAATAGCAGGAAATTTTGAAGTGAAATGTGAAATTCTTACTTCTAACCATAATCTGTAACTTGAGAGCAAGTACAGTATGTTGTTCTAAATTTGAGTTATGTTGTATAGGCTATTTTTTTTACAATCTTTTCACTGTGTATTGATTGTGCTTCTGCAAAACACATATGTTTTCTTAGGCATCTTCCATCTGAAAGTCCCCGAATCTTCTCCTATTGGTTCAGCTATTGGAAGAATAAGAGCTGTGGATCCTGATTTTGGACAAAATGCTGAAATTGAGTACAACATTGTTCCAGGAGATGGGGGAAATCTGTTTGACATTGTCACCGATGAGGCTACACAAGAAGGCATCATTAAGCTGAAAAAGGTACAGAGTTGTATTTTGGAAGATTTTCCTAATAATAATAAAATGGAAAAGTAATTCTATTTTCCTTTAATTAGAAAATAATCAAAAATTAGTATTGGAAGCTGTGAAATATTCAGTCCCAATAACAAATCTAAGTTTGTGATTCTAATACTTTGAAAAAAGGGGCTCTTCTTGTCTGATTGCACACTTTTAAAAAATTCTTACCAGAGTTTATTTATGATTTGAATGCTTTTCTTAGTACAAATTTAGGAAATATATTATTTGAAAAACAACATGTAGAAATAAATTCATACCCAAATCTAATCATACCCTTAATTTTATCTAGTGTTGGTCTGAGACTATAAATACCAAATTCACCATATTATTGAGGTGTTGATAAAAAAAGAAGAAAGGCAGTGTAGGTGAGTTGTCATCGACAGAGTAGAAGAAATAAGAATGAATATTTATGACATTCAGGGAGCTATAAGGAGCATGATAAGAAAGAAAGATTAGTGAACAAAATGAAACATGAGAAGATTCTGCATACCAATGTTAAACTAAGTAGTAGAGGAAAACATGTGAAAGCATCGAACAGAATCAGGCGGAATAGTACAGACGAGTTACTTCATAGTGATTAGTCAGAGGGATAGAGTGTACAAAGAGGTAAGATAAATATGGATTGCATTTGTGTATGTGGTATGTACTTTGCTTTTCTAACCTGACCAATCACAGGAATTTTGAATAATGAAGTTCAATCAGAGATATTAGCCTCACTTGGTTTAGTATTTTCCTCATGTTCTTAATCCCAATGCTCTTACTCCCAACTCACATTATCATAGTATTTTCTAATTGTGGTTATTATATTTGAATTGCTAAATAACTTATTACAAGTGACACATTTTGTTGTTTACTTTCATGATCAATTAGTATCATGTTAGTCAATGAATTTTTAGTTATTGACATAAAAAATGGAATCTATGTGTGTTAAGGTGGTTCCATTTCAGAACAAGAATGCAATTAGTGTTGGGTTTTCATCATTTTAAAGCTACAATAAAGGTCTCTGACAGAGCTCCATCTAATAAATTCATATGCAATATTCTGGAATCAAGCTTTAGTGTCTTCTCACTAATGATAATAATTTGGAAGCGTAATTACTAATCCCTCATATAAAGCTTTTGTTAATTTTTAAATTAGTATACATTAATTATGCAAAGGCTACATAATGATACGTGGACTGATACATGGTTATATATATATCATGAACTTTGATCATGTTATGATTCTTTTAAATAAGAAAAAAATATTTTTGTGACCTTGGTAAAGATAATGAATAGGCATAAATATAGGTTTTAAAAAGTATAAAATTATATACATATGTATAAGTTATGATTATAATTTAATAGATAAAACTATATGTGTATATATAGCATTATATATGATAACAGTCACATTTTTATCCATCTAAATCACATAATACCTATCATCCAGTGCAGCCACACACTATACCATTCCTGGAACAAACTCTGTGAAATTTATCTCCACTTATCAATGGGCATTTACAATTTGCTCATGAGTTCTGAATTTACCAACAAACAGTATATGGTATATTGAAAATTAAATTTACAAATCAACAAAACAAATCTAATGTGTAGCTTGATGCTGTCACCTAATAAAATCTAAAATTAATTTATATGAAGAGATATTTTGCATGTGATAATTTATATTAGTTTTATTTTGTATAATGCACAGGCATTGTATTTTACAGTAATTCAACTAATTTACATGATAATATTTAACAAGGTTATACATTTGTGCTGAATTTGAGATGCAAAAAATAGTATCAAATTTGGATTGATGTCATTACTGTTGACCAGGTTTTCACCTTTTTTTCAGTAGTAGATGCATTTGTTATTATTGTAAAAGTGATGTGCAGAGTAGTACAAGCTACATAGTCAGATAAAGAGGGCATTCCTTTTTGAACAGTGGCACCCATTCCCTTTCTCTCTCCCAGTTTTATTCTTCCATTCCCACCTACAAGTTTTATAGTTCATGTTCAACATGATATACAGTGAGTATCACTGCTATGTTTGGTCAGAACTCAAAAATGTAAAGATGAAACAAAGTATATTTTCAAAGCATTACTGAGGTACAGAAGATTCAGTTTGTGTATATTAATTAATTTATTTATTGTCCATCTTGGGCCTTGAAATCAGGGCCTGCATCTGTCCCTGAGGTTTTGCACTCAAGACCAGCACTCTTCCACTTTGAATCCATGCCACTTCTGGTTTTCTGGTGATTAACAGAAGAAAAGAGTCTCACAGACTTTCCTGACTGGGCTGGGTTTGAACTGTGAGCTCAGATCTTAATCTTCTGAGTAGTGGAAATTACAAACATGAGCCATCTGCTCCTAGCTTAAATATGTTTAATGTCATAATAGTTTATATATGGTAGAAAATATATGGTAGTTTATATATTTATATTTGTTTATATATATTTACCAGATATAATAAATATATTCAAAATATATATCACAATATTTTATATATGTATTAATACATATGTATAAAATTATGGATATAGGTGCCTACTTTATTTTAGCTTCACATCCAGTCATCATCTTTACCAATAAATGATGAATGTCTATGTGTCAATCCAGAAAAATGTCTGAAATTTCTTACATTTATCTGAGTTTGGAAAGAGAATTTTTATTTTATTTATTCATTTTTTTAATTTTTGTCAATCATGGGGGATTGAACTCTGGGCCTGGGCGCTGTCCCTGCGCTCTTCAGCTCAAGGTGAGCGCTCTGCTGCTGGACTTACAGCGCCACTTCTGGCTTTCTAGTGGTTTATTGGAGATAAGAGTCTCACAGACTTTCCTGCCTGGGCTGGGTTTGAACCATGATCCTCAGATCTCAGCCTCCTGAGTAGCTAGGATTACATGTGTGAGCCACCGACACTCTGCTGGAAAGGGAATTCTTAATAGATATTAAACTACTTTAATAGTAATTCTTTATTGCTTGATTTCAAAACAATTTCTTTTCCAAAGTAATGTTCTAATTTTTTTTATTGTGAAAATACAGTACAGAGGGATTACAATTACATGGGCAAGATAATGAGTACATTTCTTATCAAGCAATGTTGCCTCCTCCTTTGTTTCCCTTTCTCATCCCTTACCATAACCCACACACACATACCCCATCCAACCCCCCAGCACCCTCTCCCCCCCAGCACCCAAGCAAAAGTTGTAAAGTTCGTTTTTCGACATAATGACATGTACATCTCACTTTTGCAATGGGTCCACCTGTATTCCTATTTAAACAATTTTTCCCCTTCCCCTCCACAAATTATTCCAACATCAAATACAGTGAAAACAGGTGTTATACCATGGGGGAGGGACATACAAAGCAACAAAGAAATATCTTATAAATATGTTTAAAAAACAATAGTAGGAAAGGAAAAAAAATGAGTCCTTATCTAGGGGTTCATTTCACCTAACATTATCTTATGTGACCTTTTCTGCTTGTCTCAGACATATACTAGTTATTGCAAATAAGGGAAACCATGGCACCTATGTTTCTTTGGGCCTGGCTTACTTTACTTAATGTAACTTTTTCCAAGTTTTTCCATTTCCTAACATATGGGGCAATGTCATTCTTTCTGATGGAGGCATAGAATTCCATTGTATATATATACCACATTTTCTTGATCCATTCATCTACTGAGGGGCATCTGGGTTGGTTCCATATCTTAGCTATGGTAGATAATGCTGCAATAAACATAGTTGTGCTGGTAGCTTTAGTATGGTTTTGTTTGTGATAATTTGGGTAGATGCCCAAAAGTGGGATTGCTGGGTCATAGGGGAGCTCTATGTGAAGTCTTTCGAGGAACCTCCATACTGCTTTCCAAAGTGACTGAACAAGTTGACACTCCCTCCAACAATGCAGTAGGATTCTCTTCTGTCCACATCCCCTCCAGCATCTGTTGTTATTGGAGTTCTTGATTATAGCCATTCTAACTGGGGTGAGGTGGTATCTCAATGTTGTTTTGATTTGCATTTCTTTTATGGCTAGGGAGGTTGAGCATTTCTTCATGTGTCTATTGGCCATATGTAACTTTACACTAAAGCAGTGGAAAATATTTTAAGCAATCTGGCTGATGAAAAACTTTGTAAAGAATACAAGTGATATTTTTAACATTTATATTTATTTTATTAAACTTTAACTATTTTTATGTTTTCAAAGTACTAAAATCGAAGGTTATGCAATTGTGAGATACATTTACTACTAAAACTTGTTTAGATAATATAGATAGTCTTTCTGGAGAGTAATCCTTCATATATATATATATATATACACATATATATATGGGTGTGTGTATATAAAAATATATACATATACATACTTATATGTAAGTGTGTGTGTGCTTGTATGTGTGTAGTATGTTCTTCCTTTGGTGAATGAATCGTTGGTCAATTTCTGGCTATCAATTAGTTATATTAGTAATGCTCAGTGGCTATAATTGCATGTCTATTAAATTTCACTCAATTGAAATTAAAAGAGCAAGTCCTTGAAGACTTGGAATGTAGAGAACTGAAATAAACAAATATCTTCCTTTGACTGAAGATGCTTTCATCACTTTGGGAACTAAAAAAAATCAACAAACATTAAAACTTCTCTTGCCAGTAATAAAATTTATTCATGAATGTCATAAAACATGACCAAGATATAATAGAATATGGAGGTCATAGTCTCATTGTAAATTGGACAGAAAGATCTCTCAGGTGACATAAAATGTAAACAGAAATCTGAAGGAAGAGACAGTTCTTTAAACACAAAAACTGGGAGGTGAACACAGCATGAAAATATTTTTGAAACATCAATCAAGTAAATTCTTACATGAGTCCTTTGCACTTAAATGTTGGAAAATGTGTAACAAAAACAAACCCTATGTACGTATCAAAAATACTGTTTTTGTTGTATTAGGATCTTAAAACATCGTTGTCTTAATTTTCTTCTTTAGTGTCTCAGAATAAAATTATGAAGCATGGGTTTTAGTGGAAAATCAAATTTGC